ATGACATGGCATCCGCAACAAGAGGATGCGCGCGTAAGTATAACAACTGGCTACCACTCTGTTCAATGGAGTGAAGAACCACAACAGGACCCTTCTCTATGTCAAACGGTGCTGCCGCTGAAGCCAACGATGCTATGCCGTCCAACGTATCGCATTCGTCATGGAAACACACCCGATAGGAGTTGTCAACATCTGAAGTCACAACTTGAAAATGTTCACCACTGGGTTGACGGTAGAAGCGTAACCTAAGCGCAGAGTGTTGCTTCACCAACAAGCCAAGCGCTCTGGAAGCAACTGCCTCGCTCACCGGAGAAGTGGTGCGTAGGTAAACACTCTCAGTTATAGAACAGTCTTGACCTTGATGATTGATGTAAAATTGCTGAGCAGAGGATAATGGGTATGGAACATCAATCTCATCTTCAAGCTTCGTAGCCCGAGATGGTTTGACAAGTGGCTGTCTCTCCTTGACCACCATATTGAACTTGATCGACCTGCGTAAGATGTCATTGATATCCGCGTTGATACCGTTCTCAGCGAGCGCCCTAACTATCTGCACAGCTGCAAGTGCATCACCACCCAGGCTGTCCAGCGAACGGTCATCTGTGCAATCGGCAACGCTTATGCCAAGTACCTGGCTAAACATATGTTTAAGCATATTGCCTTTCCACTCGACATCCTTGCAGGTCGCTTGCAGCGGTGACTCGTCTGTGTCTGCAGTATTTACAGCAGGCTTAGAAAGTAGATTTTTTGGTTTCTGATAGATTTTTTCAGTCATCATGAAGGTACAAGAACTGCGTGGCGAGTCCTCTGACGAACTAGATGAGACCAAACGAATTGTTAGAAGATATTTATGCGTAGAGCAGTAGTATTCAGAAAATTACTGTTCGCGGTTATAAACGATGACTATAAACCTATGAAAAAGACTATGTTCCGAGCGTTCGGATACAGTTGGTACAAATATCTCGGTGTGTGTCAGCATAATGGCGTCGTCGGATCGAGTTCCGGAGGTGTCCGTCCGTATGATACCGGCTCAGATCCGAACACTACCGGTAATCACTCGGGCCCAAGGATGGCGTCCCGCCACCCATGCTGCGCATGGGCCCTCGCAAGCTTAGGGCCCCTGAACTCAACGATAAACATATGCTCAACAATAAGCTCGGACACCGAGTAGTGGCCACACCCAGTAGTGGCCACCCCAACTACTCCACCAACAATAACTATTTTTGAATTTTGAAGCTATCCACCACCACCAAAACGTGTCTAATATGGCCAATCGTGAAGTCTCTATTCAATCTGCTATCCGCGATTATCATGCTGGTATTTTTAAATCACAAAAAGCTGCTGCTGCCGCGTACGGCGTCCCGCGATCAACACTCCGCCACCGTCTCGCTGGGCGAGTTCAACGCGTAATAGCTCACCGCCACGAGCAGCGATTGTCACCAGATCAAGAAATTAAACTCGTCAACTGGATCCTCTATGAAGATAGCTGCGCGCGCCCACCTAGCCATACGCTCCTTCGGCAAATGGTGATCCGGATACTCGATCAGAACGGTGATACTGCTCCACTTGGCAAGCATTGGATCTCTAGCTTTCTACGCCGTAATCCACGCGTCCACTCAGTCGTCGGCCGGACGATCGAAGCTGCTAGGGCTAAGGCAGCAACGCCAGACGCGATCAGAGCTTTCCTTGAGCTCTTCGAGCATACGCGATCGCGACTCAACGTCTGTTACGCCGATATCTATAATATGGATGAGACTGGGATCGCGCTAGGCGTCTGTAGTAACTCTCAAGTAGTTGCTTCAGCTACTAAACGCAAGGCTTACGTCCAATCGCCAGAAACGCGCGAGTGGGTATCAATTATTGAGTGCGTCTCAGCTACTGGAGCTAAGTTATCACCAGTGATTGTCTTTAAGGGCCAAAATCTTCAGTCAAGCTGGTTTCCATCACAGGCTATACCTGAGTGGTACTACACCACGTCAGCTAACGGTTGGACGTCTAACGATATTAGATTTGAGTGGTTATCACGGATATTTATCACAGAAACTGCTGATCGCGCTGCTCAACTACGCAATCGACTACTAATACTTGATGGCCATGGCTCTCATATTACTCTAGAATTCATGTGGGCTTGCTATCAGCACTCTATATATCTATTATATCTGCCTGCTCACTCCTCTCACATACTCCAGCCACTTGATCTAGCTCCATTCTCTGTCACCAAGTCTAGCTATCGCGATCAGATCCGGGCCCTCGCTGCGCTCGACGACGCTGCACCAATCAAGAAGCAAGCTTTTATATCAATCTAAGGTCCGTCCCTACGTGCCGAAAAACCCTGTGTGCCGAAAACAACCAATCGGATCGCAAGGATTATGGACTTCTCTCTAACCGTCGCGATCCGATTGATCGTTTTCGGCACACAGGGTTTTTCGGCACACAGGGACGGACCTTAGACGGCAACAAAGAAAAACTACTGTAAGTAGACAGATAGCTTCTAGTAGTACTACCTTCGATTCTATGTGTAGCAAGTGGCGAATTCAATCGTTGTTGCTGCGATATTTGGCTTCAAAGTTTGGTGACGCTGTTTTGATTGGGGTGGCCACTACTGGGTGTGGCCACTACTCGGTGTCCGAGCTTAATCATTCGCGTTTATACCGTAATAATTTAAAAGTTAGCTAAGTACTTAATATTTATAAGACTTCTGGTGTCAAAACTCTTCTTGGGTTGGTTTTCGCGGATGAAGCAACAGGGTGATATGAACAGTGTCTCTGCAAGTATAATGTCTGTATTGTACTTGTACTCGTAACTTAAGTTGAACACATCGAGCTATAAAGGTTCGATGCCTGTTCCTATATACTAAGTGAATGTCCTATGTCCTAGTTACATGTCCTACGTTGTGTCATACTGTCCCATGCGTGGTACATCGTGGGATTGTGTGGAATGTGTGGGACACACGTGACATGTCCCATGGTGGCGTTCCGCCAAGCCTGTGGGATGCATGATTACTCATACGTCATTGGCTGGGTATGTGGTGTTCTTTGACTGAGGCCTTGACATGGGTTTCATTCTTCTCTCCTCCCATATCTTTGCGCTGTCTGTAAGCAGTTGAGGGTGTAGGAAGTATTGTGTATTGTGAAGTGTAACGTGATAGGAGCAAGTTTAAATACAGAGGTATTAGTCAGTGGGTAACCACGTGACTATACATGGTACTTCTGGGCTTACATATACAATACACAGGTTCTTAAGACACCATCTGCGCAGATCCAGCGTGAGGTAATTGTGAAAATAAGAGATTCACTCACTAGTTATACAAAGTCTACGAGCTATGAATCCCAGAAATCTAAAAGCCCATGTGCAAAGAGCCATCGACCAGAGCGCAAATGAAAATTTGATGAACATGAAGATAGTCTCCGCGAGTCAGCTGAAGAGCGGAGACCTAAGCATTAAGATAGCGGTAAGTAACGAAGTTGAGGTGCTGAGACAGTTTGCAGAGGGCTGGACCCATCGAATTGGAACAGGAGCTGTGGTGTGAATCCCGACGTACGGCGTCCTTGCACACGGCATCCGTACCAGCACGATGGATATGGCAAAATTCGAAGAAAACAGAGCTCAAATCCTGCAGGACAACAGACCATTCATACCCCAGGCGGAGATTAGACATATAGGCTGGCTCACCAGAGACGCATCTGCGAAACCTGCGTCAACTATCACAATTGAGTTTACAAGACCGGAAGACGCAAACAAAATTATCGACGAAGGGCTGATCTGGCAAGGCGAGGTCTTCCAATGCGAACGATATGAAAGGCAGTGCCGAGTGAAGCAATGCTTCAAGTGCCAAAAATACGGCCACATAGGAACCCAGTGCAAGGCAACAACAGCATATGGCTACTGTGCGCAGGAGCACGACACCCGGGAATGCCCATCGAGATCGAATCGGGAGACCCCAAGGAAATGCGCGACCTGCCGGGGCGACCACGAAACATGGAACCGCCAATGCCCAACGAGGAAAGACGAAACCCTGAAGGCTAAGATCGCCTACGAGATGCGGCCACGATACCACCCAGTCACGGAACCGAGGACTCCAAGTAGCTAGCCAGAGACGCTTGCTACTACAAGAATTCCATTAACACAGACAACCATATCAACACAGTTCATCCAAGCTGTAGGGAACAACCCCCGACCGAGAAGAGGACAAAAGAGAGCGAACAATGGAACAACCGTCGAAGCAAGTGAGCAACGAAACCAGCCGCCAACAAGCTCCGCGAGCCAAAGGCCACAGAGAAACATAATTCCATCCAGGAGGGCCCTAGAGGCAACCGGCGGAAACACCCAAAGCACACAAGAGACCAACCAACAGATGAAAATCGACTCGGAGACAGAAGCATGAATCAGCACACCACACTGAGCATACTACAGTACAACGTTCACAAATCAAGAGATACAGTCATGGCAACTCTGCTCAGAGACCCTTGGGTTCTTGAGTATGATATCCTGGTGTCAGATTGTGATGGGTTGTCAAAGACGGGATTAACTGTGTTTTATTGTCTTGATCGATTAGTCTGTTGATTGATGTTCCTTTTTCTTTTTCATCTCTCTCTGATCTCCCTGATCCCCTGAGTGAGATCGCGGTGGATCGTGCACGCTGACTGATCACAGAGTTCCGGGTAGTCTTATCATCACCCGGATTTTATCAACTACCTAATATATGCCCATATTCTGACACATCTTCGGCCTAAACGAGGGTAACACGGAGAAGCGACAGCTAGCCCTGCACAATATATACAACCCGACGACACACCATACAAATGCTCTAACAGCACTCGCTGATATACGCGCGATCCTTCATGAAAACCAGGACATAGAGCAGATACTCCTTGGTGACTTCAATCTGCACCACCCACTATGGGGAGGACCAGCCGTAAGACGCACACATGCCGACTCAGAAGACTTGGTGGCTATGATGGAGGACTTCAATCTAAGCAATACGTTGCCTCCAGGCACAATCACATTTGAAGAAGCAAATGGGAGATCAACCATCGACCTCTGTCTAATCACCACGGGTCTAGTAGACTGGGTCATCAGCAGCAACGTTTCCCGGGACCTGGACCATAACTCGGATCATCTACCAATAAGCACCGTACTAGACATGACCGTACATCGAGGATCGCAAATGTCATGGAGAAACCATAAGCGACTGAATTCAAAGGTGTACATTAGATCGCTTAAAGACCAACTACCGCCACTTCGCAGGCCTGCAACAAAAAGAGCTTTAGACGATTACGTACACGAGATAGTCAAAGCTATCAAACAAGCCATTGACGATGCGACACCCGAAACAGTAGTGGCATCACAGTCCCGCGAAGGATGGAACGACGAATGCAAAGAAGTACTGGCGGAGGCAAAAAGGCTGAAGAGGATATATAGCCAAAACAACACGCAGGAGACTTGGGAAGCGTATCGAACAGCGAGAAACCAAAAAGCGAGAACAACTAGAAAAGCATTAACAAAAGCGCATAGAAATCGGGTTGAAGAAGCAGCCCAATCGCCGGAGAAACTATGGAAACTCGCCAGCTGGGCCAAGACGAGAGATAACCAGGCCCCAAAAGTCACCCCGACTCTACGACACCCGGAGACACCACAGGTGATCACAGAACCCAGCAACAAGGCAGACCTGTTTCGAGATACCTTCTTCCCGGCACCCCCTCAAGCGGACCTTGCGGATATACACACAGCGCAATACCACGAGCAATTTGAAATGCCACCGATAATAGAGAAGGAAGTAGCAGATGCTATCCGTGCAGCAGCACCCCTCAAGGCACCGGGCCCTGACGGAATTGCAAATCGAGCCTTACAAGCAGGAGCAAAGATGCTCACAACCCACCTTGTGAGGGTCTTCAACCAGAGCCTACGCCTAGGATACTGCCCAGAGCACTTCAGAGAGTCTACTACTGTAGTACTACGCAAGCCCGGCAAGACAGATTATACAGCGCCAAAATCGTACCGCCCCATTGCACTCATGAACACAATAGGGAAAATAATGGACTCAATCATCGCTAGACGACTGAGCCATCTGACAGAACAACATCATGTACTGCCGGCAGCACACATGGGCGGCAGAAAGATGCGTTCGACGGAACACGCACTACACCTCGTCACGAAGAAAATATACGAAGCATGGAACAATAGGCCATCGCAAGTGACTAGCCTTTTACTGCTTGACGTGTCTGGTGCTTTTGACAATGTATCACACCGACGGCTGCTCCATAATCTGCGGAAAAGAAGAGTAGACGAGAAGATAGTAAAATGGATCGCAAGCTTCTTGAGCTCAAGGAAAACTAGCAGAGCGATCGACGGATTCAAATCCGATGAGTATCAGATAAATACGGGTATCCCCCAAGGCTCGCCGCTATCGCCTATCCTTTATCTATTCTACAACGCAGATCTCATAGATGAGTGCAATCAAGAGTCTGAAACCATGTCAACGGGATATATAGATGATGTGGCTATTCTCGCCTGGGGAAAGACAACCGAAGAAACCTGTGACGCTTTAAGTGGAGCATTAAAGAAAGCACAAAACTGGGCCAGGACTCATGCCTCGATCTTCGCCCCCGATAAATTTCAGCTGACCCACTTCACAAGGTCGTTAACACCGATCGACAGAACAAGATCAATCCAGACAGAATGGGGCACGATAGCACTAAAGACGACGTGCAAATACCTTGGACTGACAATGGACACCAAGCTGCTCTGGAAAGAACACGTAGAAGCGATTAGACAAAGAACAACCAAAACAGTGAATGCGCTGAGCTGCCTCGGGGGCTCCAATTAGGGCGTGGGCCTGCTGGACCTTCGAAGAATCTACGAAGGCACAACGCTCCCACAGATGATGCACGCCTGCTCCATCTGGTACAATGCCAACACGAGAGGAGGAACGTACACCCAGAAGACACTAGACATCCTAATTACAAGGCATCCAAGCTAGAGCGGCGAGAATCATCAGCGGAGCATATCGAGCTACATCACGAGCAGCGCTGGACATCGAGGCCCACCTCCTACCCATCGAACAACAAATTTGGAAGCAAAACGCGGATGTGGTCACTCGGCTTCTCTCGAGCAGGGCAATGACGAGCATGGCAGGGATCCAGAAAAGGACGATGCCATCAAGAAGTACGAGAAAACAAACAGCGCACATCGACTCGTGGCAGAAGATCTACAACGACATGAAGACCCGACGAAGCCAAGGCTTCGACGAGCAAGAACCCATTCCACCGTTCATGATTCCGCCATGGCGAGAGGGCCCTGCGACGCATATAGAGGATACCGCAGAGAAAGCACGCAGACGACACGATGCAGAGAATGACTCAGGACGTTGCTTAAGCATCTACACAGACGGCAGCGGCATAGACGGTGAAACAGGGGCAGCGGCAGTGTGCCCACTGATACAGCAGACTCGGGCCGTACACATGGGACCAAACACGGTCTCAACGGTGTACGCAGCTGAGCTGCAAGGCATCAGTCTAGCACTGCAAATCGCAGAACAATACATCGAGGCGGGCGGCAAGCGTAGAGAAATCGCCATCTACACAGACAACCAAGCCGCCATCTGGTGGGTAGCAAAGGCGGAGGGAAGATCGGGAGCCTACATTCTCCAGGAAATTGCAAGCCAGGTCCGGCGGCTCCAGGACATGGGACGACGGGCAACAGTCCGCTGGGTACCAGCCCACGTAGGAATTCCAGGAAATGAAGCGGCGGACCTTGCGGCCAAGGAAGCAACCGGATGGAGAGCGGATGGTCGTACACGCCCACCAGCAGAGAGACCTCCCACACTGTATCCACTCAAGTCTACGCTGAGGAGATGGTACAAGACACAAGCAGAGAGAGCGTGGGCAGCCAAATGGAAAGCCGAAACCAGAGGAAGAGCAACCTACAGACTCTCACCGCTGCCGACAAAGAAGGTGCTCAAACTACACGAGAACCTTGGCAAGCGCGAAAGCGCTCTGCTGGTCCAGATGCGAACAGAAAAGATCGGACTGAACGACTTCCTCTTCAACCGAAGAGTGCCGGAGGTCGTCAGCGCACGATGCGAGTGCGGAGAGGGAAGACAGACGGCCGCTCACATCCTGCTCCGATGCAGGATCTACAAGGACCTCCGCAACCAGGTGTTCGAAAACCTCTCTGGACGACACAACCTCCGGGCCGTCCTGAACAAGCCACAGCTAGCCACCAAAGCCATCGAGTTTATAGAGCAGACGCAGATCCTTGGGCAAATGATGATCAGAGATGCGTGAACGACAGCCGAGTGCTGGGGGGAGACTGGAAGTATCGCGGCCGCAAAGATGAGGCAGATGCCTCTACGAACCTAGAAGCGCAGTATTCAGTTAGTAGAACCAGTATCTAGGTGGGCCGCCAAGCATATTTAGATAGTGGTTGAAGGGAAACGGCAAGCCGCTGGGGACAGATGGCCCTTGTTTTCGGGGGTGAAGTGGGGCGGCGCGGAACAAAGTCTCTGTGACGCGTCGACTGTCCGCCAAGCCTGCCAGCCGGGCATAGCTGTGGAGATCACGGCTGAAACCGAGTAGGATATAATCAATCAATCAATCAATCAACAGCGGCTCTACAGGTGTCAAACCAACGCGGGGGGGACGCGCGATGGCCTGCAGAGACTGCTGCGGCCATTGGCGGGTGTATTTCCAGTCCTTTGTGACGATACTTAATTCCAAAAATTGATTTCTCGCTGTTTGTCGTATTTTCTACGCGAAGTGGCTCGGCACTAGTACGGGCACGGTATCAACTACCTATTTACCTAGCGTTTTGAGGAGCGTTTTCAAGAACACGGCCCATATGTGGTTAGTAAAACACAAAGCGCCACCGCAAAACGCGCAACCGAACAGGCCTTCAATCCCAACCGAGATGAAGCATTTTACCGCACTATCCGAATGATCTTCATTCAGCCGGTGCATGCGGAATAGAGCTAAGCAACACAAAAAACGTTGTACTGTTTAGTCCCCCAAAAAGGCACCACGGTTATAATTAGTTTTATGAACGTAGAGATCTAAGTCTGTTGCTCCATCTCTACTCAATATATCAATTAAGTTTAGTCAGACCATTGTTCATCAAGTCATTATTCCGCCAAAGTAGCTTCTGTGAGTGGCCGTCGCGTACTTCTCACTTTAAGCAATTATGAGCGTGCATAACAACGGGGGTGACAACCCACTACAACAGAGCATGGATACAGATTCTACGCTCTCGATTGCACGACTCAAGCATGAGGTAATTGGGAGTACTCCCGTTCTTCCATTCTCGCTGCTCTCTGGCGACGTAGGCTCGATTCGAAATGCTGCTTCACGGGCCTGCGATGTTCCTCTGTCAGCTATCGAAGACATTTATCCATGCACACCAATGCAACAAGGGCTTATGGCTTTGTCATCAAAACATACGGGGAGCTATATAAACCAGGAGCTGTTCCGTCTGGAGAAGCACGTAGCAACAACTCGCATGATCTCTTCGTTGAAAGACGTCATAAATGCGTGGCCAATCCTACGGACCCGAATTGTTAATATTCCTCATGTCGGCCTTGTCCAAGTTGTCATTAAAGAGGAGATCACGATACCTCTAAGCCGAAACAAGAAAGAGCTTGTCGAATCCTATACAGATTCTACACCATCGCTGGGCGATAGGCTCAGCCAATTCGCGATATGCGAAGGTAACTCTCCAGGCGAGAGCTTTGTACTGTGGAGGGCACACCACGCCATCTATGACGCATGGTCAGTGAATTTGCTGCTTCAAGATATTGCTACTTGCTACGA